GGTTCTATGGAAGAAGTCGCTGGAGATGTCTCGGTTTTAGATGATGACACACTTGCAGACCTGTTTACCAACTTGGCCATCGAAGACACCATTGATCCCGATGAAGACATCGACTGCTGTGAAGAACCTGAGACTTCTGAACCAAATTAGGACATCTCAATATATTACCTGTCCATTTGTATACAATATTTTGATTTCACTACCTCTCAATTGTTTCAACTCTTGAAAATTAATTTCATTCTACAACTAATTGTTGACGGTGTTGATTCGGTGGAATTCCATATATGAAAGTTTGTATGTCCAGAATAAATTACATAACCACACCCCTTGCCACCGTCGGATAAATGTCCCTTCACTGTCCAGAATAATATACGCTACACGGTATTGGATGTCGAGGAAGACGAACTTGATGGCCATCATTGTCATGCAACCACCAAGCCTTCCTCAGCTGCCCCTACCACCACAAAGGCCACACTTCCACGTTGAAACCTACCGTGGTGCCCAGGACTCCCGCGCCTTCGACGTCCAAGCTCAAAGCGAAGGCCGGTTTGACGTGCTATTACTACCTCTGTCCCCCAAACATTGCAGACAGTACCATATGTCAGTCATCTCATCTCCAATTGGCTTGAAACTTTGTGGGCTGCAAAACCAATCGTTCACGAATAGCGGTGATTTTTCACGTCAATTATATTTCACTTTTCGACCCGCAAGGGCCGATGGAAGGTGCCAATACAAAACGCAAGTCAAATTTAACTGACGACCAACGAAAATGCTTGTACCTTGAGCTGCTCAAGAGGAGCACTGACGGCAAGGTATCCCGCGCAATAATGAACGATGTGTGCGCAATGTTCAATGTCCACCAGTCCACTGGATGGCGCATATTCCAACGTGGCAATGAACGGCCTCCAGGAGGCGGTCCACCAGACGTCAACGCCAGGCTGAAGGGCAACAACGGCCGACGGCGGCAGTACACTGTGAAAGAAATCGAGGAACGGATCAAAGCGGTCCCACTGCACCTTCGACAGACATATCGTGCACTGTCGTCGGCAACCGGGCTCTCCAAGAACCTGCTATGGCGCTACATACAGAGCAAGTGGATTTCGCGTCGCTCAAGTTGGACTCGTCCTGCCGTAACCCCTGAGCACAAGGCAGCACGTTTGGCATTTTGTCAATCACAGTACGACAACGAGGGTAACATCAATGAAATGTATTCTATGGTTCACATTGACGAGAAATGGTTTTACATGACCAAACTATGCCGCAAGTTCTATTTGTGGTGCGATGAAGAGGTGCCCCCGCGTCCACTCCAGTCCAAAGCCCATATCACGAAGGTGATGTTTCTTGTTGCCGTTGCTCGGCCGCGCTGTGGTTGGGATGGCAAAATTGGCTGCTGGGCCCTCGTCGAAGAAAGCAAGGCCCTACGAAGCAGTGTCAACCGGCCTGCTGGTGCACGTGTGATCAAAACCCTGACAGTCACGCGCGAAATCTACCGGGAATACCTTATCAAGAGCGTGATTCCGGCGATCAAGGAGAAATGGGTTTGGCCGGCCGGAGTCCAAGTGGGCGAAATCGTCATCCAACAGGACAACGCTCGTCCCCATGTGCTTGAGAACGATGTCGCTGTCATTCGAGCCGGACAGAGTGGTGGGTGGTCGATTGTAGTGCGCAACCAGCCAGCGAAGAGCCCAGATCTAAATGTCCTTGATCTGGGCTTTTTCAACTCAATTCAAGCGCTGCAACAACAAATGGTTTGCTCGAGTATCGAGTCCCTGATTTCTGCTGTGAAAACCGCATTTGCGGAGCTACCTGGATCTACTCTCGAAAGCACGTTTGGAACGCTACAGCGTGTTATTGCTGCAATTGTGGATGCAGCTGGCGACAACCGTTACAAGGTCCCGCGCAGTTTGAATTTTCAAGCTGATATTTTGGCGCTGGACATGATGAACTTGCGGCTGGAAGAAGAAGATCGGTTGGAAGAACTGACGCAGATGATGGATGCTTTGGTTGTCGACGTTGAATAGATTAGTACTACTCGAGTAAAACCTTTTTAAATACAGATTCCTTGTATTTGACTTTTGTGTACGGTGGAATGTTCGCCTGCAATATTTGGGGAACAGAGGTAGTATTACCCTGTCGCAGGCGTCTGTTTGGACTACGTCACTCAGGATGATTGCGTGTGCACCTCAGCGCCATGTGGTCGATACATTCAAGGTCGTATTGCCCGGTTGTTTAGCTGAATTGGAGTCACGTCCTGCGAATGTACAACTCACACGATCATTGCGCTTGACGGGCGTGCCAACGATAGATCCTGTCTACGCGACTGACGCAGATTCTCGTAGTCAGCCTCGAGATCTTCCATGAAACCTACGGCAAGCAAGGCCACCACGCGCAAGATTACTGCCACCAAGTCCCAGATCGAAGACTTCTTTACATGTTACAAACCTGTTAGGCCTACGTAGGCTAGGTCTTATCATTACGACGTGCCCCTTCACCTTATGGCGCGACGCTATCCAGTGCCTGTCGTCAAGGCATACGCAAAAGGTGGCTTGTCCCATCAGACATCACACTCGGCACGACGCACCATCGTTCTAGGCAGCGGCGTTCGCAGGCAGGTCCCCACGCTGCGGAGCTTGGACACGATTTTGTTGATTTTGATGCCAGAGTTTGGCCATGAGCCGCAGTTGCGCAGTGCGACGACCTTATTGTCGCGAGCACCGCGTACAGATGACCCGAACGACCCGACGTCCGTATCCAAAGAGTACCTACCCTGGTCAGATCGGTAAGTCGTGGCGCTCAATGTTTCAATGGTGCTGGCGACGCCACTGTCCACGGTGGTTGCGATGCGCTTGGGCTTGCCCACGGGGTGCTGTGCAATGTAGATGGATTCGTTCAGCACCGGGCCGGTGCTGCGGGCTTGGAGGTAACCGTATGGGGCCAAGCTGACACCAGCTTTCAAGTTAAGCTTCACCAACGAAAAATCGAGGTGCTGATCGTTGTAGATAAGCTCGGCACTCGTTGCGACGGTCACCCCCCCGCATCCATCCTCGACGGAGTTGTTGAGGTCACTGCATGTAGGGAGTTGATAGCGCAGAGGAAATTTGGAAGTGATTCAATTGTCATCGTTAAATTATTCTAGCTAAAGATCGCTATGCAGTACTCACGCGACCGTGTCGCGGATGCGGGTGCGGGTGCGGCTAGCTGCCGACTTCTACAGACCACGCACACTCGACGTCGCGACATCATTAGTTTGATCCATTTGGTCGCTACATTCTCCCCCTGATGTCGCCTTGGTCTCTCGCCCCTTCTCGCGTAGGTCTTGGGACAAGCTTCTTGAAATGCGCAACGTGCTTGATTGTTCGCTCCAACTCCCATGTTGCTTCGTGCTCTGGCAAACTATGCCACTTAACAAGGTATTCCTTGTTACGATTGAATTGCCGTTGCTTGTAATGCTTCTACGATAAAGAGCTCATTTCCCTTGTCGTCCAGGACATGAGGCGTAGCCTTCGGAATCGGACGATGTTGGAATCGAGTTGGATTTGGCACGTGGCG